ACTGCATTTCAGATCACCTTAGCAACCACCCTGGCCTTGTGGCAGAGGTTAATTCTCTTCGGAAACTGTAAAAATATGGTTTTGATGTTGTAATTCAGAAGATTATTACGCTTTCTCTTCTCTGTCTTCCTTTGAGGATGAAGGCTCATAGAGGAATTAGAGTATACTAAGTGTGCGTGACGTCGCATTATGCCCGTCTCTGAGATCCGGCCTGCTAGACTGATATGTCTCTTCATACAGGCAGAATAAAAGGGAAAGAGGGAATGTTTGAGGCAACTGTGTCCATGAAAATGTGTGAATATTGATTGTGAATATTTCTATTAACCCTATAAAGCCTACTGTATCATACAAACCCAATTCCAAAAAAGTTGGGACACTGTACAAATTGTGAGTAAAAAAGGAATGGAATAATTTACAAATCTCATAAACTTATATTTTATTCACAATAGAATATAGATAACATATCAAATGTTGAAAGTGAGACATTTTGAAATGTCATGCCAAATATTGGCTCATTTTGGATTTCATGAGAGCTACACATTCCAAAAAAGTTGGGACAGGTAGCAATAAGAGGCCGGAAAAGTTAAATGTACATATAAGGAACAGCTGGAGGACCAATTTGCAACTTATTAGGTCAATTGGCAACATGATTGGGTATAAAAAGAGCCTCTCAGAGTGGCAGTGTCTCTCAGAAGTCAAGATGGGCAAAGGATCACCAATTCCCCCAATGCTGCAGCGAAAAATAGTGGAGCAATATCAGAAAGGAGTTTCTCAGAGAAAAATTGCAAAGAGTTTAAAAGTTATCATCATCTACAGTGCATAATAATATCCAAAGATTCAGAGAATCTGGAACAATCTCTGTGCGTAAGGGTCAAGGCCAGAAAACCATACTGGATGCCCGTGATCTTCGGGCCCTTAGACGGCACTGCATCACATACAGGAATGCTACTGTAATGGAAATCACAACATGGGCTCAGGAATACTTCCAGAAAACAATGTCGGTGAACACAATCCACCGTGCCAGTCGCCGTTGCCGGCTAAAACTCCATAGGTCAAAAAAGTTCAGAAGCCTGCATGTCTGATGGTATGGGGTTGCATGAGTGCGTGTGGCATGGGCAGCTTACACATCTGGAAAGGCACCATCAATGCTGAAAGGTATATCCAAGTTCTAGAACAAAATATGTTCCCATCCAGACGTCGTCTCTTTCAGGGAAGACCTTGCATTTTCCAACATGACAATGCCAGACCACATACTGCATCAATTACAACATCATGGCTGTGTAGAAGACGGATCCGGGTACTGAAATGGCCAGCCTGCAGTCCAGATCTTTCACCCATAGAGAACATTTGGCGCATCATAAAGAGGAAGATGCGACAAAGAAGACCTAAGACCGTTGAGCAACTAGAAGCCTGTATTAGACAAGAATGGGACAACATTCCTATTCCTAAACTTGAGCAACTTGTCTCCTCAGTCCCCAGACGTTTGCAGACTGTTATAAAAAGAAGAGGGGATGCCACACAGTGGTAAACATGGCCTTGTCCCAACTTTTTTGAGATGTGTTGATGCCATGAAATTTAAAATCAACTTTTTTCCCCTTAAAATGATACATTTTCTCAGTTTAAACATTTGATATGTCATCTATGTTGTATTCTGAATAAAATATTGAAATTTGAAACTTCCACATTGCATTCTGTTTTTATTCACAATTTGTACAGTGTCCCAACTTTTTTGGAACCGGGTTTGTAGTTGATACAAACATTTCTAAGGCCTCTACATATTCAACTTGATCAAAACTTTGCTAAAAACCCTGTTGTACACAATTTACTTACTACATGCCTTCTGTCGTCTGATTGATAGTTCAGACTTTTTTAGCAAGTGAAAGGCCGTTTAGTGTAATTATAATAATGTTTACTGATTTTTATAAAGTAAACTTATGAATAACTTATTTTGTTTATATTGTAATATTTCAAGAATGGCACTTACTGGACTGAAGCGGCTTAGGTTTACTTGATTATCCACACATCATTTTTTAGAAAAATCATATTACAATGCATCAAATATGATCCATCAGGCTTTTGAGGAACGTTTATTTGTTCATCTCTCAATGATCAATGCATTTAACTGCATTATATGTTTTACTGTCACATTAAAACTACAGAGCTTTGATCATAAAACAAAGGACTTAAATATCATCTTAAAGACATATGTGACCCTGGAGCACAAAAGCAGTCTTAAGTCGCTGGGGTATATTTGTAGCAATAGCCAAAAATAAATTTTATGGGTCAAAATTATCGATTTTTCTTTTATGCCAAAAATCATTAGGATATTAAGTAAAGATCATGTTCCATGAAGATATTTTGTAATCTTGTTCCTACCGTAAATATATGAAAACGTAATTTCTGATCAGTAATATGCATTGCTAAGAACTTCATTTGGACAGCTTTAAAGGCGATTTTCTCAATATTTAGATTTTTTTGCACCCTCAGATTCCAGATTTTCAAATAGCTGTATCTCAGCCAAATATTATCCTAAATATCCTAACAAACCATACACCAATGGAAAGCTTATTTATTCAGCTTTCAGATGATGTACACATCTCAATTTTTCGAAAAATTGACACTTACGACTGGTTTTGTGGTCCAGGGTCACATATTATTGTGAGATATAAAGTGACAACTGATATTTATATGCATTTTATGTAAGTTGTCTGCTATACTTATACTATTATTAAGGTCTTAATGATTTACATTACAAGCTATCAGACTGTCATCTTACTTTTTGGCCATATAAACAATAACATCTGCACCAAATTGCACATTTTTACTCCGTTTGGGTCTCTGAATAAAACTGAGGTGTTTTTTTCTCCTAAAGTATGAGCTCCGTATTCTGTTATATCACACTATATGAGCCATAAAAAGCCTGATGTTTCTTTAAGATTTTGTCTAAAGGTTTAATAAACTGTTCCATTTATTTAAAAATATATAGTATTATGCAAAGACATTTACAAGTCAGTCATTCGTAGCTGGATTTCCGGTACAGACCAATTGAGTGTGTTTGGGGTGAAGCTATCTTTGACTATCCAATAGAAGACGGGGAATTATTTTTACAATTTCATTTGGTGGCTCTAATGCGGCATAAATGACACACTTCAAGCTTTAAGTTATATGTATAAATATGTTTTTTTTAAGGGTTTGTGTAAAAACCCTCTTTGTCTGTTCTCTATGCAAGATTTTTTTCACATTAATGTCAGTTTTCATTGACTGTATTGATTCTGCATTGTGGGACAGCATTACCTCATACAGCGGCGCACAGATTCCATCAATCCACTCCAGCTGTAGACCTGGCAGCTCATCTTTGCGGTTTCGGTCAAATATCGCCTATTACACACACACACACACACACATACACAAACTAATAAATATTTATTAAACACAAATCAGTTTGGGAGTGTTCCTATCCATAGAAAATGAAAAGAAACCTTTTCTTTATTATCTCAGTTGTTTCTCAGACAGCAGTAAGATTAAATGAGCAAATGCAGACCTTTGTGAAAAAGAAGTGCACTTTAGCATGCTTTTAAAGAGAGAACTTACAGAAAAAAATATACTTTTAAAAAATTTATTTAAAATGAATAATTTTTATTAAAGGGGTCATATGATGCGATTTCAAGTTTTCCTTTCTCTTTGGAGTGTTACAAGCTGATTGTGCATAGATAAGATTCCTGAAGTTGCAAAGACTAAAGTCTCAAAACCAAAGAGATATTCTTTATCAAAGTTAAGACTCCACAAACTAATAAATATTTATTAAACATAAATCAGTTTGGGAGTGTTCCTATCCATAGAAAATGAAAAGAAACCTTTTCTTTATTATCTCAGTTGTTTCTCAGACAGCAGTGAGATTAAATGAGCAAATGCAGACCTTTGTGAAAAAGAAGTGCACTTTAGCATGCTTTTAAAGAGAGAACTTACAGAAAAAAATATACTTTTAAAAAATGTATTTAAAATGAATAATTTTTATTAAAGGGGTCATATGATGCGATTTCAAGTTTTCCTTTCTCTTTGGAGTGTTACAAGCTGATAAGATTCCTGAAGTTGCAAAGACTAAAGTCTCAAAACCAAAGAGATATTCTTTATCAAAGTTAAGACTCTGCCACGCCCCCCTAAAACGGCTCGTTCTAACACGCCCCCACATATCTACCTCACTATGTGGAAATATTAGCATAATGTGCCCAAAAGTGCACGCAAAGAAAGAAGTCGTGGTTTCAGTAACCGCAGTTAGTGTTGAAGCAGCATGTCAGGGAGACGCTGTGTGTTTCAGTGTGAAAGCAAAAGCACTTTATTTGGCTTTCCGAAAGTAGATGCATTTAGGAATCTTTAAGATCACTTACAACAGAACAGCAATGCATTTTATGGACGACCGTTTCGTGAACCTAGGAGAGGAGGTCATTCTGACTTTGCTATGACAATCTGGCGCTTCTGAATCAGCTACTGTTTTGTTATTAGTTTAAGTATTTGCTATTGACTGTTCAAATGCAGAGTTTTGCGCATCGTGTGTGTGTGTGAGAGAGAGCGAGAGAGCGTTACATCACAGTGTGTCAGCCGAGTCAGCTGTCTTAACACATACCAGCTTCATCACTGTGTCTGTCACGTGACTCTGTTCCCATTTCGGACTCTGTCTTTACATTTATTTTGAAAGATGACGCTCGTGATTATGGTAAGGGATGTTACATTTCCGACGAGTGCTTGCAGTGTTCGGCCAATCACAATGCACTGGGTCAGCTGGCCAATCAGAGCAGACTGCGCTTGTCGGAAGGAGGGACTTTGTAGAAAACGAAGCGTTTGAGAGAGGCGGGGCATAGAGGACCTACAATAATGTACAGTATTTTAAAAATAATGTGTTTTTTTACATTAAAGCATGTCAACATATTCTGTTACACCAAATACACAAAATAATGATCTTTAAAAAAGCATCATATGACCCCTTTAAATATTTTTTGACCCACTTAAGTACATCTTTATATGTAATTTCATTATGCATGACAAATGATTATTAATACTTTATTCGTTATTTAAAATGTACTTTGAAGTAAAACTTTTAATTTGACATTACAAAGTGCACTTAAGTGTTATGAAACAATCATGAATGTGAACACTTAAGTGGCATTTTATTTAATTATCTGCAATCAGTGAAATACCCACTGAAATAATTTAACTGAAATATCCACTATACTCTTACTGTACCTCAACAAGCATCTCGTTTGTATCTATTTTTATTTCTGTTCAAAAAACAACTGAGATAAAGTTGATACTTCAAAGAAACATAAATGAATCACCATTAAATATCCAGAGATATAAAAGCACAACCACTGAGCAATAACATTTTTCTGTGGTAAACAGAGACAAAGACACAGCTTTTCATGTGTTTTTCTTTATATTGTTCACCATCTCCACCTACAGATGTGATTAGATGGTCATAGATGGTTGTTTGATTAATGTTAGACAATTAATTTAATGCACTTGTCTGTTGTAGCTGATAATGCCTGAGCTCTTTTCACAATGAGTGTGTGTGTGTGTTTGTGTGTGTGTGTGTGTGTGTGTGTGTGTGTGTGTGTGTGTGTGCGTGTGTGCGTGTGTGTGTGTGTGTGTGTGTGTGTGTGTGTGTGCGTGTGTGTGGGAGCGCGGGCTGCAGCACAGCGATAGAGGGTCCGTGTTTGAATATATCATGCTAACACCCACACACTCTGAGCAAAAGACTGAGACTTTTAACCTGAGGCAAGCGTCTCTACAGAAAGCTTCAAAGCTGTGCCATCCCAAGATTTCCTAATGTTACCTTCTGCCTCAGAATCCAGGGCAATGGGAAATGTACTGGGAAAAGAGCTAGCTATTTCCCTTTTAAAAGTGAATGAGCGTGTAGCAGTTTGTATGTGTGTGTGCAAACTTTGATGCAATATTAAGATAACTGGATCATACTGTAACAAACAAATTGTAAAGTTCTATCATTATCTGTCATGACCATGTAAAAACGCTATACACTTTTGTCTAAATTTAGGCATTCTAATAAAAATTCATTCCTTCTATAAAGAGGCAGTTGATTTGAAAGTGTTAACCTCACCGAGGGAGTCAGTTTCAGTTCTGATCGCTCTCTGTCTCCCTGCTCGAAAAACTCACTAGTCACCAGCTCTGCAACCTGTGAGAAAGCAGAAGACACACGTTAACACACTAGTGTCAGCAGCGTTAAGTATTATTCATGTACTATTGTAGTATTTCATATTTTTTATTAGCTTTTATTTTTGTATTTTTAGTTTTCATTTAAATTTTTATTTCAGTTTTAGTAATTTTATATGATTTTGTATTTTTTTTTTTTTTACATTTAGCTTTATATTATTTCATTTCCGTTTTAGTTTTAGTCATTTTAGCACTTCAACTTTAAAGGGGTCATATGATGCGATTTCAATTTTTCCTTACATTTATTACAAAACGTATTATTACCAATGCTGAAAACAGTGCTGATTAATATATAAGATTTGGCACATTCATAGTGAATCGATTTGATGCTAATGAGACAGAGATGTGTGTTATTTCAGTACTTACTGGAAGTAGAGTGTTAGGTCTGTGGCCAGTATGGATTGTTTTAGGAGCTGCATGAGTTCTCCATACTCATGGGAAGACAGGTTAGAGAAAATATTGTGTCCCTAGAGAGACAAGGAAAAATGAAAATTATTAAACAAGAATATTTTCATTCCTTTTGGTGTCATTAAATATTGTTCTGCACTGCAAAGAGTCCTTTTAAAGATGTTTACGAACATATAATCCAGTGAGATTTCTGTCTGACAGCAGCCAGTGCAGCACACAGAGATCTGATCTCAGCATCATTCAGTCCGTCTGAGATTACATGAAGAAACAGAACAAACTGAGACAGACTAAATCCAGAAGAACTGTGGCAACGTCTCCAAGACGCTTCAAGGGACCTCCCTGCAAATCTACAGCACTGTGAAAAGTTTTAGGCACTTGTGTAAAAATGCTGTAAAATGAGAATGCTGTCACAAATAATGCCATAAATAGATTTTATTTATCAATTAACTGGCTTAAAACTAGTGCCGGGGCGGTATGACCAAAAATTTACATCATGGTATTTTTCTAAATTATACCGGTTTCACGGAACATGACGGTATTTTTTTTTCATGCATGACCGGGTGTTAACCATATTTTCTACTGATTGAGAGGAAATACTGCAGTATATTGACTTAGAATGCCCTATTTTACTGTCATGATGAGTGAATATTGTCAAAAAATACCACACTAAATAATAACTAAACACGAACCCTTTTAATATATGTTAACCAGGAGTCACTCTCATTTATAATCACGGCATCGTCTGATAAAATCAACATGCATCTACACTAAAGAGCGGCTATGCGGTTGTTTTGGCAATCTTACTTTTTTGTCTCATGCAGCGCACTGCCTGCGTCTGAGTAACAAACTAAAAAAAACAACAAACAAAAAAAGTGCATGTGATATTAACAGACGAACTACGCTCATATTTATAATTCCAAACAATCAGTAAGCGACAGGTGCTAGGAAACGCTGTTTTGTACTCATTTATTGAGGAGTCGGCTGCGGTGCTTCTCTGCCGCTCACTGCACAGAACAGACGCCGAGAGAGGGGACACTTCTCCGGGAAAGTCAGACCTCACGTTCGTGGGACAGCACTGGCGAAATCTTCCAACTGAACCATAGTTAAGGTTTATCCAAAAAAGTCGCTAGATTTGTCAGTATGACTATTCTATGGAAAAAAGCAGCTAAAAGGGTCTGAAAGTTGCTAAATCTAGTGCTAAAGTCACGCTCGTGTGAGACGCGGGAGCTGATGGCAGGGGGCGGTGGATATTTGTGGAGGTCAGTGTGGATATTGTGGATGAGTTCTTTTGTGTCATCACGTTCTGTTAGTTCTACAGCTTCAGTTTCTGAACTTTCACGCTTAGTAACACATACAGCTGTTCCCTCACCACAGTGCAACAGTGAAAAGGGACTTCTTTCAAACATTGTCCGAACGTTGTTTAAGCGACATACACCGGTATTGCGGTATTTTAAAAATTCATATCGTAACATAAATAAACACCGGTATTCGGTTTGAACCGGTATACCGCCCAGCACTACTTAAAACCATTTTTTTTGTTGGTGAGAGTACGAATGGCCTACTACTTTTGCACAGTACTGTATATTAAAGTATTTTAATATTTTCACTTTAGTTGAATTATTTTCAGCAAAGGTGTTGTCATTTAGATGTTCTCATTCAAACTGATTTTACTCCGGTAAACTTCTGTTTTTCAGTAAATGCGAAGCATGGTGGGAAATAGGATAGGCTATATCTGCCCCTACCAGATTAAAGAGCAGGGCAACTGTTCCCATTTCATTAAGGACCAACTTTATTAATACTTGTCTGTCTGCTGGTCAGTGACACGCTCGTTCTCGGAGTAAATGATGACCGACGCTCATTTGTATGCAAATGACAGTGACTCAGATAAACACCCTGCATCTGTAGAAAGCAATTATTCACAGTCAACATCTGTCAGTTACCACAGAGTGTAATTATTCACCTCTCTCTCTCTCTCTTTTCTCCCTTGTTATCTCATTTACTGTGCTTAAAAGGATTTCTTGTATGGCACTGGTTTAGTGTAGCTGATTATATGAAGTGAAAGTCTGAAAGTCTTCACAATACAAGCATTTAGTTACTACCTATTTTAAGTCTTTATTTTTGATTTCAATGATGTAGTCATTTCATTACGTTTTTTATTGTAGTTTAAATTCTAAATAGGAATGGACTACAAACGGCACATTTACTCCAGTTGAATTTCTTGTAAACTGTATTATGGTTTGTGTTGTAGAATGAAAACGACTGTAAAGTAAGTCTGTTGGTATAATTAAGTTGACTTGAGTTGTTTACAATAATAATATTTTTTTGCAAACCAAGAATAAATTGGTTGCCTACTTTATTATTTTAAACTGATTTGTATTACGGCTTAAGTTCAAGAATGTTATAGATTGTAAACTTTGCGCAGTATTGTAGATGGAATTGTAAATTGTTGTATGGCTCAGTTTCTAAATTATAACTCATTGTAAACTGTTGGCATCAAGTTCTACAATGATATTTCTTGTAAATTGTTAGCAAACTCTTACAGTAAACTAATTTGTATAATAGTTTAAGTTCTACTTAAGTTTTTTAATATTTGTAGTAATTTTGTACTGTAGTTTACCGAAACTGAAATTACGCCCATCTTTTCTTCTCAATTGTGGCGTATATTGAGAAAAACGGCTTCTTGAATGAGAAACAATATGCTGGACGTGACTCAATTTTGTCCATATTATTAAATATGTATGTATGTGCCCGGATAATCATTTATAATAAACACTGCAACATTCCACACAAATTCTGAACTTCGGAGTTCATGGTGACTGTGAGTTCACCTCGCTCTGCAGGATCATAACAGCATGGTTGAAGTGATGGTGCTCTAGTGTGGCGGATGTCCCATAAAGAAGAGAGAGAGCTGATCCCGTCCTGAGAAAGACACAAACGTCATTCTGTTCATGTGCAAAGTGAAGAAATCCAGCATTCAGCCTCACGTAATGAAGATGCCAGACTTGTATTGAACCAGTGGTTGAGTAGCAGTGACTGAGTCTCACTTGGCCTGGAAAGCATTGTTGGTTCCTCTGTGGTCCAGATCATGGCAGATGCAGCCCACTATCAGAGCCAGAATCTCCATCTCAGTCAGAGTCTCCTGAAAGGCGGCCGTCTGCAAATAAACACGCATAAACACACTTCTGTGGCAAATGTACTAAGACAGAGGCTGAGGAACACACACTCCACAGCTTTAATGCTGATAATAATATTAAAGGGGTCATATGATGCAATTTCAATTTTTCCTTTCTCTTTGGAGTGTTACAAGCTCTTGGTGCATAAAGAAGATCTGTAAAGTTGCAAAGACTAAAGTCTCAAATCCAAAGAGATATTCTTTATAAAAGTTAAGAGTCAGCCACACCTACCTAAAACGGCTCGTTCTAACACGCCCCCACATGTCTACATCACTATGTGGGAAGATTTGCATAACGCCGCCCAAATGTTCACGCAAAGAAAGAAGGCGTAACTTTTATTCTCGCTGTAGTATTGTTGCTGTCGCCATGTCGTGAAGGCGCTGTGTGCTTCGTTGTGAAAGCGAAACTACTTTGTTTGGCCTTCCAAAAGAGGAAGATATCGCTTTGTCATGCCTGGAGCTGATCCGTGCTGGTCGCTGAGGAAATACTTCAACTTCGCGCTGTTGATCGCCGGATCAGCTTTCACTGTGGACGAAGCGGAGTCCAGCCCGGAGTCGTTACATGTGGTTGCCGCAGGCATCACAGTATGGTAGGGACGTAACATTTTCGTCACACGCTTGAGGTATTCGGCCAATCACAACACACTGGATAGCTGGCCAATCAGAGCACAGCTCGCTTTTTCAGACCGATGAGCTTTGTAAAAATCGACGCATTTCAGAAAGGCGGGGCATAGAGGAGAAACAATAATGTACAGTATGTGGAAAATAATGTGTTTTTTAACCTTAAACCGCATAAACGCATTTCATTACACCAAATACACAACATAATGTTCTTTTTAGCAACATCATATGACCCCTTTAATAGCATCAGGGCAATTGTTTCAGTATTTTTGAAAGAAGTCTCTAATGCTCATCAAGGCTGCATTTATTTGATCAAAAATACAGAAAAAAACAGTAATCTTGCAAAATGTTATTACAATATAGGAGAAACAATAATGTACAGTATGTGGAAAATAATGTGTTTTTTAACCTTAAACCGCATAAACGCATTTCATTACACCAAATACACAACATAATGTTCTTTTTAGCAACATCATATGACCCCTTTAATAGCATCAGGGCAATTGTTTCAGTATTTTTGAAAGAAGTCTCTAATGCTCATCAAGGCTGCATTTATTTGATCAAAAATACAGTAAAATCAGGAATATTGTGAAATATGATTACATTTTAAAATACGGAGTGTCTATTTACACTAAGTGCAAATAGCCTGCCTTGTCGCCCACCAACATGTGATTCGACTAGTCAACATGACAAAAGACAGGAGACAGTCGGCAGCTCCAGTGGTGCAAATGGTAAAATGTGTGTCGTATTCATTTTGACGCGATCAACCCGGGTTCGAGTCCGCCTTTTGCCGAACTTTTTTCTCCCTTTTCAAATTTCAAATCACAACAAGCATTTATTTTCAATGAAAATGAGGGAAATAATCAAAAAGTTGAAAATAAAGTATCGGGTAGGTGAAGGGAGGGCTTTATTGTCCCAATAAGGTGGCATCCATTTAATAATTTGAATTAAAATTTAAATTTACACTCAATAAGTTATTATTGCATACTGTTTTATAATGTACTACAATACTGAGGTGCAGATAATTGCCACTATTTGCAACAAGTAGTATAAATAGCAGAAAATCCTGTTATTTTAACATAGTGTAAATAGAATCAATAGCTATTTGCACTTAGTGTAAATAGCATACAACAAGAAAATGCTGCTATTTGCACTTAGTGTAAATAGCATCTATCGCTAAGAAAATATGCTCTTTTCACTTAGTGTAAATACCCTCTATCACTATTTACACTTAGAGCAAATAGCCACTGCCTTTAAAATAACTTATTCCTGTGATGGTAAAGTTCATAATTACTCCAGTCTTCAGCGTCACATGATCCTTCAGAAATCATTCCAATGCTATGTTTACACTGCAAGTGTTAGCGCTCAATTCTGATCTATTGCTCAGCTTTGATTTTTGAATGTGTCTTTTATGAATGTGGCCAATATTAGATTCCAGTGTGAACTGATCAAGGTCCTGAACTGACCCGTATGCGTCAAAGAACGATGACGAAACAGCATAAAGCTCTCTGTCATACGGAAGTAAACACGGATGCCACTGAAGTAAGCATTATTCGGGACAAAGATGAGGAGAAAGACTAGAATGTCGATCTAGAGTGAGGTGAAAGCCGCATGAATTCCGTTATGACCGTTCAGACCGAGGTTGCGCTGCAAAACATCTGAGCTGAATCGGATTTAGTACACATATATGTGGCCCAAATCAGAATCGAAAAGATCAGATTCCATGTAGCTCACAATGTCATGAAATAATTAATTACATATAAATTTGGGACACATTTGTGAGCATCGCCTAATAAGATTCTTGCTGCTCAAGAAACATTACTATTATCATCAATGTTGAAAACAGTTATGCTGCTTCATATTTTTGTGAAAACCATGATATATTTTCAGGATACTGAATAGAAAAGTTAAAAACAACAGCTTTATTTGAAACCGAAATCTTTTGTAACATTATAAATGCCATTATAAATCAATGTAATGCATCCTTGCTGAATAAAAGTATTAATTTCTTTCAAATAAACACACACACACACAGAGCAAGTCACTCACCGTCAGCATGGAAAACATGCACTGGCAAACGTTGAATGCATGTCTCCAGTTATGATACAGAACCATGCGATAGTTCTTCCTCACGGTCAACAGCCACCGACAAAGTGTCTAGAAAGAGAAAGAAGAGTTGTGGTGTTACAATACAGCCAGAAAAGCTACAGTAGTTTCTGTCTTCTAATTTGATTGGTCAAGAGTGCTGAAAAACAGAGCATAACATACTGGGAACTATTATCGCTGTCGTAAATAAATATATAAGAAATAACTGGCCAAATTTGGTCACTCGATATCAACTTTTTAAAATGTATTTTACTTTTACAAATTAATACAGGCTTACGGTCAGCCTTGCTGATATTCAGTACAACAGCACTCTTACTTGTGTGATATTGCTGAGTTAAGAAATAAATGCGTGTGTGAACCTCATAGTCTACCTCATAGTCTATTTTGAATTTCTGAACCATTCCCAGCTCCATAAACATCCGCAGAGCTGCAGTGACCATGGCATCCACATCCAGAGAGAAGTCATCAAACGATAGTTTATCAATGCCCAGTTCACACACCAGAGGGATGTTTGCTGCCTGAGGAAAAGAACAATAGAGAGAGAGAGTGAGAAAGAGAGAGAGAGAGAGAGAGAGAGAGAGAGAGAGAGTGAGTGTGTGAACAAGAAAATGCTGCTATTTGCACTTAGTGTAAATAGCATCTATCGCTAAGAAAATATGCTCTTTTCACTTAGTGTAAATACCCTCTATCACTATTTACACTTAGAGCAAATAGCCACTGCCTTTAAAATAACTTATTCCTGTGATGGTAAAGTTCATAATTACTCCAGTCTTCAGCGTCACATGATCCTTCAGAAATCATTCCAATGCTATGTTTACACTGCAAGTGTTAGCGCTCAATTCTGATCTATTGCTCAGCTTTGATTTTTGAATGTGTCTTTTATGAATGTGGCCAATATTAGATTCCAGTGTGAACTGATCAAGGTCCTGAACTGACCCGAATGCGTCAAAGAACGATGACGAAACAGCATAAAGCTCTCTGTCACACGGAAGTAAACACGGATGCCACTGAAGTAAGCATTATTCGGGACAAAGATGAGGAGAAAGACAGCAAAGTTTTTAAATTATGACGAATGTCGATCTAGAGTGAGGTGAAAGCCGCATGAATTCCGTTATGACCGTTCAGACCGAGGTTGCGCTGCAAAACATCTGAGCTGAATCGGATTTAGTACACATATATGTGGCCCAAATCAGAATCGAAAAGATCAGATTCCATGTAGCTCACAATGTCATGAAATAATTAATTACATATAAATTTGGGACACATTTGTGAGCATCGCCTAATAAGATTCTTGCTGCTCAAGAAACATTACTATTATCATCAATGTTGAAAACAGTTATGCTGCTTCATATTTTTGTGAAAACCATGATATATTTTCAGGATACTGAATAGAAAAGTTAAAAACAACAGCTTTATTTGAAACCGAAATCTTTTGTAACATTTTTACTGTCACTATTGATCAATGTAATGCATCCTTGCTGAATAAAAGTATTAATTTCTTTCAAATAAACACACACACACACAGAGCAAGTCACTCACCGTCAGCATGGAAAACATGCACTGGCAAACGTTGAATGCATGTCTCCAGTTATGATACAGAACCATGCGATAGTTCTTCCTCACGGTCAACAGCCACCGACAAAGTGTCTAGAAAGAGAAAGAAGAGTTGTGGTGTTACAATACAGCCAGAAAAGCTACAGTAGTTTCTGTCTTCTAATTTGATTGGTCAAGAGTGCTGAAAAACAGAGCATAACATACTGGGAACTATTATCGCTGTCGTAAATAAATATATAAGAAATAACTGGCCAAATTTGGTCACTCGATATCAACTTTTTAAAATGTATTTTACTTTTACAAATTAATACAGGCTTACGGTCAGCCTTGCTGATATTCAGTACAACAGCACTCTTACTTGTGTGATATTGCTGAGTTAAGAAATAAATGCGTGTGTGAACCTCATAGTCTACCTCATAGTCTATTTTGAATTTCTGAACCATTCCCAGCTCCATAAACATCCGCAGAGCTGCAGTGACCATGGCATCCACATCCAGAGAGAAGTCATCAAACGATAGTTTATCAATGCCCAGTTCACACACCAGAGGGATGTTTGCTGCCTGAGGAAAAGAACAATAGAGAGAGAGAGTGAGAAAGAGAGAGAGAGAGAGAGAGAGAGAGAGAGAGAGAGTGAGTGTGTGTGTGTGTGCGTGTAGCAAAAAAGAGAGAGAGAGACGCAGGAGGCAGAAAGGACAGAGTTTGCTCTTGAGTGCTTTAAAACAGATGCTTTGTGAATGGAACGATTCTAGTGTCAGGATTTTCAGTAATTCGTGTGTTAATACTGACTGAAGCTCAGAGTCGTGCTAACGAGACACTACAAATAGATTCACACACACATTCACAGATCTAATGAGGGACTGCTGGCAGGAGGAGCTGTGTGTTATGCTGTGACGTCATTAACAATTGCTAATTGTAGATATTTATTAATATCATTATTTGTACCCGGTTCTCATAAAGAACAAAAAGAAGACGATGAAACAAAAACATGCTGGCGTTTTCACCATCCAGCATGACATATTACACTGCAGTGGATGCTTTTACCCCACTTATTACAGAGGCTATCCAACTGAAACAACGTATTGCTCAATCCAAGAATGAAAATTATGTTGTCACTTACTCTCCAAACCCATAGTTTTTTATTTCCATCAAATACAAAAGGAAATGTTTAGCAGAATGTCCAAGCTGCTCTCTTTCATACAACAAAAATGGACTGTGATTCATACAGCCAAGCTTCAAAAAGGACAATAAAGCACCATAAAAAAAGAAACAGATATGAAACAGATCTATTACACGCACATACACACAGTATTTAGTATCTATTAATATGGCATTTATTAATATTTTGAAATAGCTGTTTTTATATTTTCAGTTTTCTTTTTAATTTTAGTTTCAGTACTTTTGTCATATTTATTAGCTTTTGTCTATTTACCTTTTATCCGTTTTAGTAACTTTACTACTTCGATGCTAAATGCCAGAGGAACATTTCTAATTTTCATTTTTAAGATTAAGTTTTTCATTTTTTATTCGTTTTATTTTGTTTTATTTTAGCTTCAATTACCATTTTCAATAGTTTTAGTTATCCACAATTAGAAAAGGTTGTCGCGCCAAACACTCCAGTAGGCAAATAACATAGGGTGCGTAGATCCAAAATATACAAAAATATGGAGATGAAAGAGATCCGCACTCGTCCAAATTCAGCCAAAAAGACTTATTACATTTATTGCTCAGAGGTCACAAAAATATATACAAAAAAGTGCAAAGGTGCAGAACGTTTTTGGGTATTAACCCTTCCTCAGTGCCATGTGCTACCAAGCAACATCTGCGCTCATTAAAACATGTATTACCATAATATATATCACGAAGATACAGAAAAACATGTATACATCTAAAAAAAAAAACATATAATAAAATACAACAAAAACATTTGTAAATCATCAAAAATCATCAAAAGTAATCCATATATAACTACATAAACAAAATATACACACAAGCATATATCAATAATATAAACTCATAACTCCAACACAAGTTTTAAACATCAGTTTCTATATATAATAAATCATACCAAAAAACTCGTTCGGGTTTCTCCAGCATATCCTTAAATTATTATAAAAAAAACAATTCAACGATAAATCTTCAGTCATATCAAAAGGGTGTAAACTTTTATCTGCGCTCATTAAAACATGTATTACCATAATATATATCACGAAGATACAGAAAAACATGTATACATCTAAAAAAAAAACCATATAATAAAATACAACAAAAACATTTGTAAATCATCAAAAATCATCAAAAGTAATCCATATATAACTACATAAACAAAATATACACACAAGCATATATCAATAATATAAACTCATAACTCCAACACAAGTTTTAAACATCAGTTTCTATATATAATAAATCATACCAAAAAACTCGTTCAGGTTTCTCCAGCATATCCTTAAATTATTATAAAAAAAACAATTCAACGATAAATCTTCAGTCATATCAAAAGGGTGTAAACTTTTAAGATCAAAAATCCATTCCTTCTGCAAAAGTCTACGTTCTAAATTCCCTCCTCTGCGGTTCTGTGCCAACTTTTCAATAACTACAAAGCTAAAAGGGTTAGTTCACTCAAAAATGAAAATTCTGTCATTAATTACTCACCCTCGTGTTGTTCGAAACCCGAAAGACATTCGTTCATCTTCGGAACACAATTTAAGATATTTTTGATGAAATCTGAGGGCTCTCTGACCCTCCCATAGACAGCAAGGTAACTACCACGTTCAAGGTCCAGAAAAATACCAAGATGATCGACAAAGTAGTCCCCCAAAGTAGTCCAAAGTAGTCCTAGTCATTTTCTGACGTCATTACGCCGGATCTGGGTCAGCGCCGCCACACGCTCGCGTTATGATTCTGTCATGACTTTTTCTTATGAACAGATGATTAAACTCCTGTTTTTTTGGACATTTTCTTTGTGTGGAAAAGAGTAGGATGGACTTTCACAAAGAAAAAAAGAATCTCACGTGGATGTGGTTAATCAGCCTTGAGGTCTGACCCCTGCTTAGTGTTGTGTCAGTGACAGTGACAGATCGAGAGAGCTATGGAAGCTTATATATTTAGTGGCACATATATATATATATATAGTGTGATATTCCTGGATTTGGCTTTAAGCAATGGGTTCTTCATTCACTTGTGGAAACATGCTGGTACTTGTCAATGAAATGCTATAAGAGCTCCTGGCAAAATCCAGTTAACACATTAAAAATGAGCATTTCACTAGAAAATGAACCCATGATAAATGAGGCTTTTCATTAACAAGACCCCACAGAGACTATATCAGTAATGCACAAACACTGATGAGATATTGAATAGTTTTGTTCTGAATTATACATGCTGCATAAACAATACAGTCTGATATACTGAGGTTAATATATCATGAATCTGGTTATTTCATTTTTGATAAGCTGCATCTGTTGTACCAAACAGCGCTAAATGAAAGATAGCTCCAGAGGCGGACAGTAACTAAATACATTTAGTTGAGTATTGTACTTAAGTACACTTTTTGAGTATCGGTACTTTACTTGAGTATTATTTTTTCTGGGAACTTATGACTTTAACGTTACTACATTTGAAAGACAAATATTGTACTTTTCACTCCGCTACATTTCTATCAAGGTCCTCGAAGCAGAAAGTCGTTACTATGTAGCAGCTTTGAAAGTCAGTGGGTGATTTTCTTCTTCTCTAAAACGTGACTCTCTTTTTTTTCAGACAGTTTATCAGTAATCACTCTTGTAGGGCTACATGAAGTGATTTCCCTGCATTTTTTGAACACTGCCCAGTTGCAAACGTGATATTTATTTACAACAATTCAATAATAAGAAGTTAATATTGTGGTATATATTAGAAACAATATTGTCTGATTTTGCTAAATTGTGTAAAGTGAAAATATTACCTATAAAGCCACAGAAGAACTGTTGTGCGACCCCTAACAAAACACAAGTACCACGAGAGTGATTAGACAGCATTTAAAAAAAATTTAGTTTGATGTCAAATAGGTCTTGCTGTTTTGCTTTTTTGTTAAAGCAGTGTTGCTGTTGTAAAGTTGTACAGCTACAGTTGTGTTGCTGGGTTTTAAAGCAGGTTTGGGTTTTTTCTCTTCCTTATCAACTCTGTATTTACAGGATTTCACTGTCCACTCTGTTCAAATGTGGACGAATGGTTACACATAGATGTGTGCACACACTGTCAGAGCTGTGTGAGATCACTACCATCCTGCTTTTGTGGGGGGGTAGGGGTGTTAATTTTTCCCCCATAGGTTTTTAACATTCTAAAAGCTCTTTATTCCAAAGATACTACAAGCTAGTAGGTGTAATGTATTGTAAGTTGCTTCAGAAGTATTGCAAGTATTACGTACAACAATAAAACAGTGCATTGACATAAAAAAAGAAATTTACTTTTGGTACTTAAGTACTTTTAAAAGCAAGTACTTTTACTTAAGTAACAATCTGTCTTTACAACTTTTACTTGTAATGGAGTAATATTTGACCAGCAGTATCTGTACTTTCACTCAGTTGAGTACTTTGTCCGCCTCTGGATAGCTCTATAACATATAGTCTATTGGGCATGATTCAATAACGCATTATTGTTTACCTTAAACTTATCCACCTCAGTCTTTGAGCAAGTGGCGTGATATGACAGCACCTATGGAAAACACACACTGAATTATTAAAGGTATATTTTATGTTTATGATATAGACATGTTACATGAATAACATCATAGAGATAATAGAGAGCCAAACAAACTAGCTGAATTGCTTTTAAATAGACCAAAACCCTGACACTACAAGAAGTCAGTGCTGCATCCCTCTGATTGGCTGATGGGAGTCATGTGAGCACAGTGTGTTAGAAAATGATGGTGGTGTCCATTCATAACATACTGACTGTCTGATTCTGAAACCGATCTGCACTACAGGTCATGCAACATACATTTCAGCTCCGCTAAAGTCTGTTGATGATCTGTTACATATTAATATACTGACAATCTGGAACCCCTATACATACTGTCAGATTAATCACAGAAAACAGTCCTACATGCCTCTAGTTTGAGAAGAGCTTAAAAAATGTATTAATGCTTGCACACACTGTAATGTAGTAATGCAGCTAATAAACGGAGCATACTCACTTTCGCCGTTTCATTTTTTTCCTCTCTCACATTCATTGCTTATTGATGTCAAGATGTTTCTATATTTTTTGCCTGTCCTTTCAGTTTGTCTTTAAAGTAAGTTAAAGGGATAGTTCACCCAAAAATGAAAATTGCTCAATGATTTACTCACCCTCAAGCCATCCTAGGTGTATATGACTTTCTTCTTTCAGACGAATACAATCAGAGTTATATTTAAAAATGTACTGGCTCTTCCAAGCTTTATAATGGCAGTGAATGGGTGTTGAGATTTTGAAGCCCAATAAAGTGCATCCATCCGTCATAAAAAGTGCTCCACATGGCTCCGGTGGGTTAATAAAGGCCTCCTGAAGTGAATTAAAGTGATGCGTTTGTGTAAGAAAAATATCCATATTTAAAACTTTATAAACAGTAATCTCTAGCTTCCGCTAAATGTTTTACACGCGTTCACTAGAGAGTGGCGTTCCAACCAGAGCATGTGAGCGGAGCGGAGCGTGAGCGGAGCGGGGAGCGGAGTGGTAATATTTCCTTAAGAGCGCAGAGCGCCTTTCTGAAGATTCCGCTCCGCTCGCTCAAAACGCTCAGCGCCGCTCGCTCAATCCAGAATGCCGTTTGGTGATTTGCTTGTTCGAGATCGAGAATCTGTAGAGATCGAGAATAGTAGAGCAGTTATGGAGCGGATGACGTAGGACGTAGGCGTAGTGTAAGCCAGGACATTTTTTTTATGTAACTCTGATTGTATTCGTCTGAAAGAAGAAAGTCATATACACCTAGGATAGCTTGAGGGTGAGCAAATCATGGGGTAATTTTCATTTTTTAGGTGAACTATCCCTTTAATGCATGAAAAAAACAGCACTTTCTGACCTTCTTAACTGATCAGTGTTCATTTTTTATAGTTGAATTTAAAAATGAACATGAATGTCAGAATTTCCTAATATATGGTTTGTCTCCTTATGCTTTAAGCCTATAAAGCCTACTGTATCATATTTTATTCACATATTTGTAAGGCCTCTAAATAATCAACATGATCAAAACTTTGCTGAAAAACCTGTTGTACTCAATCTACTACATGACTTCTGCCTTAACAATTGATAGCTCAAACTTTTAGCAAGTGAAATCTTTAATGATTTTTATAAAGTAAAGGTAAGAATAACTTTTGTATTGTTAGCAATATTACAATATGAACATCTACTGGACTGCAGCAGCTTAGGTTTACTTGATTATATATTTGTATTTTGTGTAAACATACAATAAACTGTTTTCATTTTAAAAATAAGACTTTAAGGCTTTACAGGGTTAATAACATCAGCACTCAAGCTGCACAAACAAAACCAGATGATCACGTTCTCCTGCTGAGATGATCCGAGATGTTCCAAAGAACATCCTGTGCTGTGACATTTTGAACAAAGAAATACTACATTTCTTGTTTGCTAAGTGACATGAAAAAGTGAATATTAAATATGTTGTACTCAATTTACATCACAACTTTTATATCCTCAAATTTCCTGTTTATTTCCAGCTATAAATAAAACTAATCTTAGATGTTCAATGTGGTCTCCATTGTGGACACAAGTGGGAACTGAACATAATAATATTATAAATCTCAATTAATTTTAATAATTTATGAGTAAATGTAGAAATTAACATCAAATGTTGTATCTTTTAATATTATTTAATTGACCTGAGCTAACAATGAATAGTTGTATTACTAATGTTAAAGATGAATAAATACTGTAAAAATGTATTGATGCTTGTTAGTTAATGCATCTACCAATCTCAAGCCCCGTTCACACTACAAGCGACACAATCCCATTCATTTCAATGGACAGCTGGCGATTTCCAGCGACACGAGCGACAGTGGCCGTTGGCGACCGGATGGGGCGTGTCCAGCGACGCGACAAAGTTCAGAATCCTTCAACTATATGCAAATGAAGAGCGACTTTCGGGAGCGAAAGCCAACAGGAAAGACGACGGTAGAGCTCATGTGATCATTCTCCTCTCAGCGCTGTAGATAAACATACGCAATGGAAGAAAGTAGGCTCTGTTTCTCATTCATTTTTGTTTGTATGTACGGATTTAATTTAGATTTAGATTATATTTTGTCTTTTGCCTCCAAAATGTTTGTACTTAGCAGCAAGAAACCTGATTCGCTGTCAAGGCAACCAGTATTGAGAACGCCCATTAGCAACCTCATCGCCAGCCCCTGGCGACATGCAGCGACTTTTGTCGCTGCTAGTGTGAACGGGGCTTCAGGGAAGCTCATCTGCATGCTCGTCGTCCTCATCGGGGTCTCGACCTGACTGCAGTTCGTCGTCGTAACCGACTTGAGTGGGCAAATGCTCACATTCGATGGCGTCTGGCACTTTGGAGAGGTGTTCTCTTCACGGATGAATCCCGGTTTTCACTGTACAGGGCAGATGGCAGACAGCGTGTATGGCGTCGTGTGGGTGAGCGGTTTGCTGATGTCAACGTTGTGGATCGAGTGGCCCATGGTGGCGGTGGGGTTATGGTATGGGCAGGCGTATGTTATGGACAACGAACACAGGTGCATTTTATTGATGGCATTTTGAATGCACAGAGCTACCGTGACGAGATCCTGAGGCCCACTGTTGAGCCATTCATCCACGACCATCCCCTCATGTTGCAGCATGATAATGCATATATAATATGTATTTTATGCATAAACATATCATTCTGTCATTATTAAAGTCATGAATATGTTTAATATCATTATCAATTAGTTCATATGTTAGCTTTGACTGTTAACACTGTTAATTTCGACTAACCTAACTGTACTAAAATATTATAAATATTTTAATACTGTTAATATTATATTACGATATTATTCAATATATTGCAAGATAATATAATAGATGAGATGGGTTCCACACCAAAATATCTGAGCCCACTTTCAAAGCCAAGGTTCAAGGTTCATTTTCCGGTGTGTGTTTGGACCCCTTTGAAGTGAATAGTTTGGTCTGCAGTATAGTTCGCTTACATCATGCTTGATGGTTGCAAAGCGCTCATAAAGAGATTTCATCGATGTCATACCTCAAACAGCCTCTGATCTGCATCATCAAATGGTTTTCCATCTAATCTGTTCAAGACCTGAGCCACACCTGCAACACACACGTGAAGACAGTGAGATTGCATGTTGTGTTTCATGACCCATATCAGGTCCTTTAAAGCACAGTAATGCACTGCAGTCATTGATGAGAGATTCAAGAGTTAAAAATCTCACCCCACCCCCAATCTCTCTCTCTTTCTACATGACTAATTAAACAGTGTGCAGTTGTTTTAGTATGTAATTAGAATGATTGTTCCTTTTAGTGCAAACCCTCTCCCCTGTTCACACACTTAACACCTCCCCCCATCCTCACCATCTCATTACAGTCAATCAGAAATGTAGTGCTCGCTTTGGACATCACGTACACGCATACGGCTCTACCATAACACTGCTCATAATTATAACATTTTTATCACTTGAAGAAGCCTGTTCGCCTGAAAGCCCACTGATATGTGCCTGACTGAGAATAAAAAAATATTTCAAGTAATCCTAAACCACAAGTGGTGTTGTTCAGTTATCATCTCAGTATATAGTTACACAGCTCACTGCATCTGCATCATATACTAAACACCTCCTACTATTTTAAAAACAGTATGTGAAAGAGTAGCATTAGGCAATGATAAATGCTCTAAACAGTAGTATGCTACAGTGTTGTCACATGACCTCTTTATATGCTGCATGATACAGTGAGAGGTGCCTGGTTATCACCTCATATGATAAAAATGGTAATTTAGCATGAAGAATAATAATTAAGGAGGAAATGGTTATTAGGTTGTAAAGCCATAAAGAATTTTTTTATTTTAAATATAATGTTAGAGTGCTCTATGTCAGTGCTAGCCAAATGTTGCTTGTTTTTTTTATTTTATTATTTTTTTTTCAGTGGAAACTTGTTCTATGGGGATGGGGTTGTAATACATATTATATAAAATAAATCTTGTTACAATAAGTATTATATTATGTTTTTATATTAATAAATTATATTGTATTCTATTAGGAGAAAATGCTATCAGATACAGTATATAAAGCCATTAAGAAAACAAAAAAATATTTTTAGAGAATGTTTGAGAATTCTATGTCAGTGTGAACCAAATGTTGTTTGTGTATGTATGTTTGGGCATTATGACAAGTATTACTAAGTGTGTGTGTGCGTATATATATATATATATATATATATATATATATATATATATATGAGCAATATCACACAAGTAGCAGTGCGATATGGCTGTAAATCAGCAGGGAGGGAAGATTTTGTAGGTTTTCTAGGTTAGTTTGTAATCGGTAGTTAGTGTTGTTTCTTGTCATTTGTTTTGGCATTTACCCCTCCCAAAGTTATTGTTTTAATTTTTTTTCATTCTAATTTAATAAACTTTTCTTGCTATTTAAGAGTGTTCTGTGGTTAAAGCCTTGGGAGTGAGAGCAGGGACTCCAGGGATCTTCTGAAGAGGATAACGTTTACGTGACGTTACGGATAACGTCTCAGTTACGTATGGTAACCCTCGTTCCCTGAAGGAGGGATCGGAGACGTCACGTCGGATGACCGACAAATTGGGATCTCGCTTAGAGAGACCAATCTTGGGCCAGCGCCCAGGAGGATGCAACTCTTCTGGTTGAGTGAGCTCACAGCCTGAACGGGCAGGGCACACCCTGTGCCTGATAAGCCAGGGTGATGGCATCCACTATCCAGTGGGCCATCCTCTGCTTGGAGACAGCATTCCCCTCCTGCCGGCCTCCGTGACAGACAAAGAGCTTGTCTGAGGTCCTGAAGCTTTGCGTCCGGTCAACGTAGCACTTAAGGCTCGGACGGGACAGAGCAAAACTAGGGCTGGGGCTGCCTCCTCTGAGGGCAGCGCTTGGAGGTTCACCACATGATCCCTGAAGGGAGTAGCGGGAACCTTGGGCACATAGCCGGGCCGGGGCCTCAGGGTTACCTGGGAATCAGCCGGCCCGAACTCTAGGCA